CTCTCCCCCCTTTTGCCTATGGGGGTGTGTCAAATGTTATATCTGCTACAGTTTGTTTAGGTTGTAGTGGGGTAGTTACTATGGGGTACAATGCGTTTAGGGTTTCCTACTTGTACCCAACCTTTTCCTAGTGCAAACACTTCTCTCATTCTGACACAGCCCAGACAGAGCACATCACCTACATGACATCGAAGTAGTTTTTAAAATACTGAGTGAGAACCGCCTACTGACGAAAGCATCTAAGTGTGAGTAGTTACAGGATAGACTAGTGTTTTTGGGACACATTTTTAAAGCTGCAGGAGTGGAAGTAGACCCGAAGAAGATCGCGACGATTCAAGCGTGGCACGCGCCGACAAACTTGACCGAGTTGCAGTGTTTTTTGGGGTTCGTCAACTACGTGCGCCGGTTCGTCCTCGACATGGCAAAGTTGACTGCTCCGTTGACCGACCTGCTGAGGAAGGGGGTTGAGTACACGTGGGGGTAGAAAGAGCAAGCTACCTTCTTGGCCCTCAAACAAATATTGTGCTCGCCGCCCGTGCTTCACATCGCAGATCCCCACCGTCCTTTCGAACTCGTCACCGACGCAAGCAACATCACCGTGGGAGCAGTACTGTTGCAGGATCTCGGGAACGGCCTCCAGCCAATCGCGTACGAGTCCTGCAAGCTTCACCCGCCCGAACGCAACTACCCAATACACGACCGCAAAATGCTGGCGATCGTGCACGTGTTCAAAGTGTGGCGATGCTACCTCACCGGAGCAGACGTAACAGTACAGACAGATCACCGATCACTACAGCACCTCCGCGCCCAACCGAATCTCAACCCGCGACAGATCCACTGGTTGGAGTATCTGGAGTCCAACTTCCACTACACAGTCACGTATAAAAAAGGCGCATCAAACATCGCCGGCGCACTTACACGCCCCACCGCCCAACTCCACGCCATCCTACTCGCCCAGACCAACCCACTGTTAACAGGCCTATTCACCCACGGATACAGTACCAACCCATTTTCACGACCGGAAATTCACAGCAACTGGCAGAAGCTAAGGGAGTCTATTACATAAAGACAGGCACCAACCGCATTTGGGTACCCGCGTACTCACTTCTGAGGGAATTGTTACTGCAGGAGGCACACGACGGGGTTACCTCATGTCACTTTAGGGTAGAAAAGACGCGACAGCAAATGTAGCGGCAAAACTACTGGCCGGAGCTGTTGATCGACGTATAGCATCACGTGGGCTCGTGTCCTACGTGTCAGGTGATGAAGAGCTCGCGAAAGAGAATGGCGGGTCAGTTGCAGCCGATTCCACCGCCCGAGCGCGCCTGGCAGCAGGTTACCATGGATTTCGTCACGAGGTTACCTTCAAAACCTGGGGATAACGACGCGGTAATGGTCGTCGTTGAAAGACTAACGAAGATGGCTCACTTCACTGCGTGTAAGAAATCAATCTCAGCCAAAGAAACCGCTCGCCTGTTCATCGCAACCGTCGTTCGACTACACATGATACCAACCGCAATAATCAGCGACCGCGACACGAAGTTTACCAGCAACTTCTGGAAGAAACTCTAGGAGCAGTTCGGGACCAGGCTAGAGTTCAGTTCATCCCGAGACCGATGATGAAATGGAGCGGACCAATCAGACGATGGAGCAGTTGATTCGGGCGACGTGCGATGACCCGACAACCTGGGAGCAGCAGCTGCCGCTGATCGAGTTTGCCTACAACAACGCCACGTCAGCGATGACGCAATAGTCTCCATTTTACCTGAACCACGGGCAAAATCTACGCCACGCGCACAGCAATTCACCAAGATCCTGCAAGCTGCCTGCACAAGAGTCGCAGACACAATAAAAAAAGCCAACGTCATCGCAAAACACAACGCTGACCGCCACCGCCGCCCAGTCACGTACCAGTCAGTACCAGGAGATTACGTGCTGCTCGAAACACAGAACTTAAGACTGCCCGTCGTGCCGAAGTTACGACCGCGCTACTGTGGACCATTCCAAATCAGCAACATGATCACCCTAGTTACCGCCCACTTACTGTTGCCGACAGACTGGTACATCAGCCCATCATTCCACGTCAGCCTGCTTCGCCCTTACATCCCGACCACAAGCTAACTGCCTCATGACCGCCCGCCATCCATGTCTCGCCCTGCAACGGAGTCGATTATCGAGCCCGAAAAAATTATGAGCCATCAGATTCGACACCCCACAGGCGTCAAGAGGATTGAGTTTCTCGTTTGCTGGAAGGACCGCACGCCAACTGAGGATAGCTGGGTGCCCCTGGCCAACATTGAAAATCACCCTACTCTGCAAGTGTACCTGAGGAGCCGTGGTTTCCGCGATATACACGCACTCGCGTACCGGAGGGGGCTTCTTGAGGGGGGGGGGGAGGGGGGGGGGGGGGGGGGGGGGGGGGCATCCTAGCGGCATTCCTAGCGCCGTTCATAGCACCTTGTTCCTTGTGCCGTTCCTAGTGCCGTTCCTTGTGCCATTCCTGGCGCTGTTCCTTGCGTCGTTCCTAGCGTCGTCCCTAGCGCTGTTCCTACCGCCTTTCTTAGCCCGCTGCTAAGCACAGCTGTTGACTAGACCTGGCTAGCCTCAGTCATGGCATCCAATGGAGTCCTGTGTTATGACACCAAAGGACTACTTTTGCATGTGGCTACTGCACGCCAAGATTCACATTCAGAGTTGGCGCTAAGATGATGGCACCCACACTTCAAGTGAGTTGCCTGCCCATGAGGCCTTTGCTTCGCAGCGCACTGCGTACCTGGTGTGGCAATCACACAACGCTGCTCCTCGTCTCGCTCTTAGTCACCTCCTTTCGACAGCTGAGTGCGTTCACTTTAGCAAGGTCACGCCCGCAAGTGAGTGTTCTGATACTATCATTACATACTATTTTGCTCCCTCCTCTACCACCCTAAGTCTACTGCTCAGGTCCTTTCTCTTCGCAGGTCTTCCTGCGCTTGCGACTACTACTAACCTAGTTACACACCAACACTCGCTCGACGCTAGCTATCATGCTACCTGCACCCCTGCCCAGCTTAAGAATCACCCTCCGCCTATCCACCTCATCAACTATGCCATTGTGACATGTCTCCCTGGCCGCCATTAGTCTGCGCGCAACGCTCTCCTCACTAGGTACCCCACTAAGCTGCTGGTCCAGTAGTCCCTCATCTCTTTGAGGGGTGCGCTCTACCCCAGCTCCCTACCTTTACTGCTAAACTTGCTGCTGATGGGTCTTCTAATACCAAGAAGAATGCAGCTATTACTGCCTTTGATGGGTAGCGGCGTGCCAAGGGATATAAGAAGGGTAGGAAGGGTGGCGGAGGTGACAGAGGTGGAGGCGGTGGGGATGTTGGTGCGTTTGAGGTATACAACTCTAGAGGTGGTGCTGGGGCTCTGAGTCCGGTCGGAGTAGGCGCTGGTCCTAGGGGTGTGGCGTTTGTAGAGCAGAATCAGCAGCAGGAACGAGTCCAGCAATGGGCCCTTTAGGAGCTGTGGGTATTTGGTGGTCTGGGGAGCGTCGGCCATAGTGTCGCCCCTAATATCTTGGGGGCGCGTCGCTGTGACACCACACCCTGCAAGTACCAAATTCTGACTGACCCTGGCGCTTGCATTACCTGTGGGCGGCTTGACCACTCTACTGTGCGCTGCTTCCGCCTCCTTGACGACCTCTACCGCGACCACTTTGGGTCAGAGACGGCTTCCCCGCACTGGCCCTTGCAGCTGAGTTGTGGCTACCTTATCATGGACATAAGTGTTGCCGAATCCTTTAATTTGCCTTTGCCTAGACTAGGATCTTTGTATTTCTCAAGTGTAAGAGCTTGTGTTGTTGCTAGCCCATGTGCAACTAGTACTGACGCGTCACTCTCCTTCACGCTTGACTCCTACGCGTCTCAGTGCTTCTTCCGTGACCGCTCCACCGTCTCGCCGCTTCCAGTACCAGTCGCAGTCGCTTTGGCCGATCCACTTTGGGTCGGTCGTCGCTTATAGTGTCCGACAGTACCCTTTGGTTACTTCATGGGTCCCCACATTCCCTCGTTCTCCAAACCTTGGTGGGTGTTGGAGTTCTTCAGGACCTTGGTGACACTAACTGTTTACTGGATACGAGATGTTTGCGATATGCACGGACGCTACCACCAGGGCACAGCTCGGCACGTTACCCTGAGTCAAGTCTGTTCACACTCCGCACTGCGTCCCCCCAGGTGTTAACGTCTGGTCAGATCGCTGTGTCCTGCTCTTGTAGATCACTCACTCACCCTTCCTTCCTATGGCACCACCGTCTAGGTCACCCTGCACTCCCATGTCTCCATCATATGGCTAGGTACTGTCTTCTCTCAAGTCTCCCGTCGTCGCTTCCTCCGCTCCCTCCTTCGTCTACTCCTCCACTCCCTCCTTCGTTTGCTCCTCTGCACACGCTTTATCTCGAGGGTTGGCAGGGTGCAAGCCCTCATTCATCCTCACTTGCGACTGCCACTGCACCTCTTCTGACTTTGCACATGGACGCCAGGGGCCTTGCGTTGGTCGCTGTGCCATGAGAGGAGCACTACTTTCTTGTGGTTGTACCAGTACACCACAGTGTTTTCCTTGGAGCTGAAGGCCGGCGTGCCTGATGCTATGATCCCGTGGTTAGTGGCCACTCGAGCCCAGCGCGAACTCCGTGTGCTGCCGAAAACGGGCCGATCGAGCACTGTTCCAAACAAAACGAATAGCACTGTGAGCAAATGTGATTGGCTGTCGCCAATCTTTGATGCTTCATATTCCCGCCAAATTTTTTTTCCCTGCGGATCTCCTCTGTCGCATGTTTCGTGCTACACCTGCACGACTCTTGCCAAGCGATGGTTTCGATCGCCGGGCCAAAATGGTTTCAAGCTGGAACTGGGTTTCATGCTAGCTGCTCTCCGTCCCGTAATCAGTAGTTTCATTCCTAGCATATTATAGCTGACAACAATAGGTGTTTGTTGCCTAGGTAAGGAACTATCGACTTAGCGGGAATGCGTAAGACTGTTACGTAGCGTTGTATCATAATTTTATTCCCTTCCGTAGCCGATCGTTACCCTTCCGCAGGTGTTAGTTTCCTGTATCGCGCCTCCGCCATCTCCCCTACCCTTTGGTCGTTCGTCCGCTGTCCGTTCCCCTCCCACCTTAGCGGGTCTCTCTCCTCCCCCCCGTCGCCATCTCTTTTCCCCTCGCGCATGCATTCGTCGGCCCATCGCTCACCGCGTCGTCTTTAGCTCTCTCCCCGAAACGCCCTCCCCCGCCATTCCTCCCTCCCCTCCGTGCACTTTTCCTGTCATCTTCGCGCTCTCCCTCTCGTCGCCTGCGCGCTCTCCCTCCCGTCCCCTTCGCGCTCTCCCTCTCGTCGCCTGCGCGCTCTCCCTCCCGTCCCCTTCGCGCTCTCCCTCTCGTCGCCTGCGCGCTCTCTCTACCGTCGCCTTAGCGCTCTCTCTACCGTCGCCTTCGCGCTCTCTCTACCGTCGCCTGAGCGCTCTGCATTTCGTCGCCTTCGCGCTTTCCCTCCCGTCGCCTTAGCGCTCTCCCTCTCGTTGCCTGCGCGCTCTCCCTCCCGTCCCCTTCGCGCTCTCTCTACCATCGCCTTAGCACTCTCTCTACCGACGCCTTAGCGCTCTCTCTACCGTCGCCTTAGCGCTCTCCATTTCGTTGCCTTCGCGCTTTCCCTACCGACGCCTTAGCGCTCTCCATTTCGTCGCCTTAGCGCTCTCCCTCCCGTCGCCTGCGCGCTCTCCCTCCCGTCGCCTTCGTGCTCTCTCTCCCGTCGCCTTCGCGCTCTCCATCCCGTCGCCCTTGCAATCTCCCCTCCCATCCGGTCGTTCCCTTCATCTCCTCTCGCTCACGTCCTCCCCTCCCCTTGCCATCCCATCGTTCGCCTCCTCTCCCCTCCCATCCCGTCGTTCGCCTCCTCTCCCCTCCCATCCCGTCGTTCGCCTCCTCTCCCCTCCCATCCCGTCGTTCGCCTCCTCTCCCCTCCCATCCCGTCGTTCGCCTCCTCTCTCCTCCCATCCCGTCGTTTGCCTCCTCTCCCCTCCCATCCCGTCGTTCGCCTCCTCTCTCTCCTCTTTCTTCCCGTCGCTCCTCCACTCTCCCCTCGCTGGCCGTTGTTCCTCTCTCTCTCCCCATCGATTTCATTCTATCCGTTGGTGATACCTTGTCAAACTTATTTTCCCCCTCGTTCTTCGACTCCCTATTTTTAACCTCTTTTAGTCGCAGCTCTGCCAGGTCGTCGGCCCACCTCCGCTCTCATCTCCTGCATTTGTGTGTGCGCTGGATTCTGTGTTGTTGATTGATGTGAGGTTTTGTGAAGTTCTATGACTGCTCGAGTGAATACATGCATTGTTACCTTGCGCCAAATTCGCACAGAAGTATGTGTGCATTGTGTGCAAGTTTCGCTGCCAATCAGAATTGTGCACTTGTTCCACATGTTCCCCGTTCACAGCGAGACTCGTCTGGAGTGAAAAAATAAAAATGCACAGCACTTCGTTGGTTCCGAAACTGTTCCAAAAAACTTCAGTTTTCAAGTGGACCCAACTAGAAGGGGGGGGGGGTCACTATTTTAGCTGCTGGCTTTAAAGCCATGGTCTCATGTAAGCTAAAGGCGTGTAAAGTCGTGCCACAACAATTTTTGGGAAAATCCGTCGGGCCGTTGTTGGCGAAAGTAACCCTTTCACGGCACTCGCAGTGTTTTAGACGAAGCTCGTTCATTTTGCGAAATCGCGAAATATTTGATGGCCGTTTCAGCGAACCGACACGACAACGACGCCGAGTCGACTCGCAAACGGCCACGAAGTCGACTAGTCAGTGCGACAGATGTGCCCATCGTCGCACAAAGCGCCCTGCGATAGAACGAGTAGTTGTGCCACTACTGGAGTCAAATGTGCGACTGGGTCGCAAGGTGGCTGGTTTGTGCGAGGCTGCAAATTTGACATGTTTGTTCATGCGGCCCACAAATCGGCCTGCAAACTTGTCAAGTCTGCAAATGGCAAGTACAGGCCGTTTTGGTGGGCGACCAAATGTCGACCAAGTGGTCGTTGTTCGCGAAAGAAATAACGACCAAAAATTCGTCGGATTTCCAGCCATTTGCAAAATTTCGGCCTAAGGAGCCATCGACTGCAAAGCACTTGAAGCTACCAAGTTAGTGCTGGCGAAGTTGACTCTGGTTGGGTTGGAAACTCAGCTCGCGTCACTGCCCCAAAAGCAATTGCACAACACTTTTGGGTACTTGAGACTTTCGATGAGTTGGGGGCATTTTAGGTTTGGATCCGAACCAAGTTTCCAAGCCTACACGGTTTGGTTACCCCCAGCGATTTACGTTCACTTCGCACCTCTCGCTTCATCCCAATTCGAACCTTACACCTCGCCAACCAATCAAAGCCACACTTTCACCATCAATTGCAAAGAACGTGTAGTACGTGATGTTGGAAACAACTAATTCTAAGCGCCTCTGTCGTGTCGAAACACCAAGGCACAAGCGAAGCACAACATATCGCAGCATCAGCGAGTCAACCCTCAGAGGGTGAGCAACTGCTGGAGGTTACGCGAAAGTCAAAGGTCAGTGACCTTTGACCTGACAAGTACAGCGCGACAGCAAGGACACACAACTGACTCGCTACAGAGCAGTTGCCCGAGTCGTCACTGTATCGAACCGCAACAGCAACAGTAAAGTAGTTATAACTGTATCTCTTCGTATTCCTTGTACTCTTATATAATCCTGTATCTCTTTGCTTTAATCAATCTACTTTGCCCTCACATACTAGGGCAAGGTGGTTCACAACTCTTCATTAAAACGCTTCCGCTATTACATCAGTCCTACCCAGAGTTCACCCCTGCAAAGATCCTAAGGGCTTTCTAAGCCCAACATGGTATGAGAGCTATCAGGGGGAATTCAACTATCAAGACACCTACAATATCAGAAGACATGACTACTCAGAAGGAAAGAGGTTCCTCTATTGGCTCTCCCGGCACTACTCCTACTCCACCCCCTGGCTCTGGCCTACAGACAGAGGAGGGTACGGCAACAAGACCCAGGGCAACATCCACCGAGACTCCTGCGAATCAACCTGCAGGTTTCGATCAGAGCATGATGGAGAAGTTTTCCTCCTTCATGTCCTTCTACGAGAAACACCAGCAATCGGCACCTGTGCAGTCACACAACAGCAACAACAACAACGACGTGACTCCAATGAGCCTTGATGGTTCATCCTACGCACGTGGAAATCAACAGCAGCAACCTACCTTTGCTCCATACGAGCCCCAGCGCGGCTCCGTCAGCTTCATGCCACAAACCGCAGCCTGCACCTGGACAAGAGAAGACACTGGACGCGCTACAAGTTCAGTCGCAATTCGCGCACGTCCTGAAGTTGCAAACATCAAGACCTTTCGACGGAAAGGACTTTTTAACCTGGTCATTCGAGTTCGAGCTGATGATGGAGGGCGCGCAGATCCTCGGATTCTTCGACGGATCCCTGCCATACCCAACAAACGGCACACAGTACGAGAAGCAGCAGTCCACCTATCAGTCAATGATGGCGTACACAATCCCTACTGAGGAATATCACCCCGACTCAGCAGCAGAATATACGGTCTACCGGGGATATGGTAACTCCGCCGAGCTCGCATACGGCCACTTGAAGAACCTGTACCAAGCAACAGACAGCGTTAATCAGAGTCGGCTAATGGCGCAGTTGACAACAGTGGAAATGAAACCAGGCAAAAAGGGAATAGCGTATATCAG